GCAGGTTACACTAAGGAGCAGTGTGAAAGTGAGAGATTATTGTTGTTATTATTTTGACTATGCAGCACAGATACTCAAACATATGTACCAAACATCTCTACCAGTGAAAATTAGGCTAGGTGTATTCAAAATTCATATGCAAGGCTTTCAGCCAGGGAACAGGTATGAAAAGGCAGCCACTCACTCTCGGTGAGTTGGGCCCTGACCACTGGCACTTGACTGGCTTCAGGAATGGGGCAGTGAAGACCTGAAACAGAGGCAGGGAAGGGTTTTCCTCACAACAGTGTTATATGTGCAGTGAACTCAGCTTAGGCATCCATTTCTAGTAGGACGTGACCCTGGGTTGGTATAACTCTGACTTCTAGAAGGCCAAGGGCACCAAAAGGAGATACTTCACTTCCCTTACAGGAATGCTGTTAGAAGTAAATAAAATAAAAGATGATGCCTATGCCCCAAGGCACATTTGGGAGCCTCACCTTCTCCAGCTGCAGAAGAACAGGCCTTCCCCAAGACTGGATGGAAATCCTGAGCACCCAGGATTGCCATACCAGAGGCAAAGGGCAGGCTTCTGACAGTCTACAGACCATGGATCAAACCCCAGCTCTGTCACTTACCAGCTTTAGAAAGCCCACTCTCATTCTTTTACTTACTCATTTTTCAGTGTCATATTTTTATGGGAAAAGAGATGGACAATGAACAAGCAGACAAACAAATGAGAAAATTTCAGATGAGGGTAAATGCTATGCATAAAATAAACTGGGTGATATCTTGTAGAATAATCTGGGGATGGAAAAAGCAGTTACAGACCAGGTGGTCAGGCAGTTCCTTTCTACAAGGAGACACCTGGCCGGGACAGGAGAACGAGGACCATCTTGACGTAGGATAGGTGGGCGAGGGGACTGCAAGCATGATGTCCCCAGTGAAGGAAAGGCCTTGGGACTCAGGAGACCGAGAGAAGGCCAGCGTGACCATGGGGACTGTGTGACCATGTGATCATGGGCAGAGCAAAGGAAGGTGAAGTTCGTGAAGGATGCAGGGGCCTGATGGTACAGGGCCTTATGAGCCACAGGAGGGAAAGGGGCTTTATTCTAAAGACCACAGGACAGTTTCTGGCAAGAGAGTGGCCTGATCCTATTTCCATTTCAAGATGATGATTCTGGTGGCTGCATGCGCGTGTAGAGAGCAAGGTGGAAGCAGGAAAACCAGACAGAAAGATACAAAGCAATTTAGGTAAGAAATGATGGTGGCTTAGACTAGGGTGGTGGTTGGGGACACAGAGGTAAACATATCTGAGATGTATTTCAGAGGCACAACTGTAAAGGATTTTGTCTGGGGTACAGTGCCTAGGTAACAGCAAGAATAGGACTATATTAACTTTTTGAAACTTCAGTTTCTTCCCTTTTAAATTTATAAAGAGCAGCATGGTGAGTATTTTTAACAAATTGTATTGTATATTTGTAAGTCGCTCAGTGAGTGAATCTTAGAAGTTCTTATCACAGGAAAAAATACTCATTAACTATGTGAGGTGATGGATGTTAACTAGATGCACTGTGCTAATCATTTCACAATATATACATATACCAAACCATTACACTGTGCACCTCAAACGCACATCAATCATACCTCAATTAAGGGAAAAAACCAAGATTGCAAAGTCATTTAAGTGGTAGAATGGAGATTTGAAAACGGACTCCTCAGTCATTTCTTTTAATTGCTGTGCTAGCCTGTCTCCAGAATGATGGAGAAGAGGCCTAGGAGGCCCAGGGAACACTAATCTATTTTGAGGAATGAGCCAGAGAAGGAGTCTCTGCAGAAGGGAAGTTCAAGCCAGTGACTGAATTAACAAAAGTGTAGGCAGAGGAAACTGGGTGTGCAATGGCCCAAGGTGGAAGAGAGCAGTGTGTTCCAGGAATGGATTGCAATGTTATTAGAATGGTGGGAGTAAGAGGCGAGGCCAGGGAGGGGCTGATGTCAGAGCATGTGAGCCTTTTCCCAGAAGAGCAACAGGAAGCCAGAGGGTCATTGAAGGGGAGGCTCCCTCATTACCACTATGCTGCTCCGCAGAGCACAGATCCCAGGAGTCAAAGGTGGATTGTAGGTGGGGCTAGCTCTTAATTTCAATTTTCAGAATCAACTTAGAAAGCCACAGTTCTCCTCCAAGGATGGCCTGGCACCTCTGGGGCCATATGGAAACATGCGGAAATAACTTGGGTTGTTGCTGCCATTGCAGATGTCAAAATCCCAATCATGTGAGGTATGGCTGCCCACAGGGGCAGCACTGTCCCTTCCAAATTGCCAAGGGGGCCCATATGGGGAAATCCTGCTACTGGCAAAGCTCGAAGTCTTCACTGCAGGAATAGAAATGTTTTAAGTCAATTCTATGTACAAGCAAATGTATTGAGAGAACTGAGAGGTGGCGAGGGTAAGTGAGGTGAGCGGAAATAGAGGGGTGAAAATGTATTCACCATACATAGTGGAGTGTCACAGGACACGACCTGAAGTTGATGGGAGCAAAAACAGATGGTTAGGTGTATCATAGTCACAAAGGGAACCAAGAGAAAGTTAAAAATAAAAATACAACTAAAAAATTGTAAGGAGGATAGAGAAAACAAAAGGAAATAGTATAAATAAGCTAAATTTCTTATCTTTATTGAAGGGAGTCAGCAAATACTGCTAAGGTTGATGAATCAAGAAATGAGGCAGAAATAGAATATCTGGAATTATAGAGAAAAACATCAGAAAATCAGGCGAAAAACCTTTAGAAAAAGAAGTAGAATTGGAGTTTGAGTACCGGGGTGGCAAGGGAAACTTTGACTTTTCATTTTATTTCTTCTCTGAAATACCATGTGTATGTCTGTTTCCACCTATATATGTTATGCATTAGTTTCCTACCTTACTCAGTGCTGTCTGTATGAATGTCAAATGCTTCTCTCACTCTCTGAGAAACTGGTTCTGTTTAGCAGGGACCTTCCAAAAACTACTCACCAGTTTCAGACAAGTGTCCAGAGTTTGCTTGTGTTGAACTGTACCGTCTCCTCATCAGCTCCGGGACTGAATTCATACTAGCTCCTTCTGAGGCTATAAGAAGTTCCTTGCCCCCACTGGATCTAGATCAAATTTTCCTGAAGTAGATGGGTAGGATTTGTGTGGTTGCTGGGAGGGTTGGAAGTCAGTCAAAGAAGAAAAGGGCAAAGTCTCTGGGGGCATCCTTAGTTGCTGGGTGGCTTCCTCCCATTCCATGGGAGTCAAATAAGATCAGGGACTGACACTTAGGAGCAGATAAATGACTAACAACCCACGTTTTGTGAGTAAAGGATGAGGGGCTGGGGGAGGGGGGAGAGATGAGTCAGGTGGGTAGTGCATGAGAGGAGTTAGAATCTAGCACGACCTGAACCTTTACCCTCCAAACACCAGCTCAGCTGGTCCTCTGTTCATCTTTACTTTTATATGTCCAGTGGTAGAACTACTCTATTTTTCTGTATAACCGTTCTGTGAGGCAGTGAGATTGTACTGCTGTTAGCTGTTTACATATTTGTATCTTAACATTCTATCATCTGTGATCTCATTCTCAAAAGTAGAATCTGAGCCTCATCGATCTTTATATCCCTTACACTGAACTTACACCTAATAAACTATGGTTGAATAAAAGAATAAATGAATAAGTAATTGAAAGTCAAACAAGTGAATGAAATGCTTGTTATACTTCCCCTCTTTTAAAACATTAGCAACAGAGGGTGTGGAGTACAGTAAAAATTCTATTATGTGCATCCCTGATTGTATGGATCAGGTACGTGTTTGATGTGTGAGTGTTACCATAAGTACCTGAGAGAGTTAAATAATTGGTAATGGGGACTACCCATTTAGTCAGCATGAAAACATTAAAAGCAGTGCCTATGAGAATGTGGTAAAACTTCTGTGCTTATATCCTACTATAGGTATCACAAATTGGTTTGACTCTTTTAGAAATCAGTAAGTCAAGGAGGCTTTCATGTCATTATAATCATCATTTTTTCTTGCCTAGCAATGGGAAACATTTTTTTTGGTAAATATTTTCAAAGATCTTTGATTAATCATTGTAAAGATTTAATCATGGCCTGGTGTGTATTCTAATGGACTAAGAGTAACCAAGCAACATCATGATGGGGATGGTGTACAAAATTTCTTTGCTAGGAAGTTATAGACAAAGCTATGTTTCTGTCCAAATGGTTATAACTAAGAGAAATTTGGACCATGAATGTATGGAGAAAGTTCTGCTCTGCTCTGTATATCTTTTCTTCGGGAGCCTAGTTATGAACATGATCAACTGAACCAGCCATTCTTCAATGATACATCTATTGAGCTTCCATTGTGTGAGGCATCTGCTTGAAGGAAGGGACCGTCTTTCTTGCACAGAGGGTGCATGAGGGAGATCTTCTCACCAACTGGCAGGTGAAACAAAACGGGTTTTCCCATTCTAGTTGTAATCTGGATTGTATTAATAGTTGACAGAATTCATCATATCTGTTAAGCTTCCTTAAGTTTATGAGCTGTAAATTCAAGAGATCACAATTTTCTTTTGCATTTCCTTTGCAATAAAGATCTCTTTGTTTTCTTACTTCTATCAAATAAGCTTCTGATGGTTCCCTTATGTAAATTCTTTCTGTCTGAGTTGGCTCTCATATTTTACTGAGCTTCCCCATCCTGTGTTCAGCTATAGGTTTAGGGTGCTGACCTTAAGACCTCAATGTAGAACTTTATTCACATATTCTCTCTCTTTGGACTATTCTCAGGGAATCTAAGAATTAAACAACAAGCAAACTCCCTATGTGGCCATGATTCCGAGAGGCAGAAAACTGAAAAGAAGTGAAGGATATAACTCACACATGCCTGGGGACAGGATGTGAGGGTGGGGCTTTCAGCTTGAACAGAAGAAAAACAATGCATCAGCAGTTGAAAATAATTAAACAGAAACTCACTAACCCAATCCAGTGACCGGAAATTGCAGAAAGAATCTACTGTACCTTGGTACGCATGGGCTTTTTAAAGGTGATTTCAGCTTGCATCCAAATGCCTCTTGGGGACTCCAGGACAGACCAGATCTTGTCTTGAACCACATGGTTCTCTTCAAAGATATAAACTGCTAGGGTGTCACTCATTTTAAAAAATCCTTGGATGGCATAATAAAAACGCAAACAATACTGCAGGTTTCCTGGCAGGGAGGGACCGTAGAGCCTTCCAATGTAGCCAGGCTGTGATGTAAATTTTGTGTTGGCCAGCAAGAAATACCCTGTGAATAGGACAAAGCTTTCAGTGCATCAGCAATGAAAAACCTAAATAATTTAGCCCAGATCATCAACTGGGAAAATTTGGTTAAAGTAGTGGAATTTGCCAAAAGAGATTACTCTATAGGCTTTAAGTGATAGCATTTAACAATGTCTGTGGCTTAGGGGATAGAAAATATCTGTGAGACTCTTTTGCTAATAAACCTATTTTTGCTAATAAATTTTAAGGTAACTTCATAAACCAGTATAGATTTCCAACTGCATATGCTCAGGTTTTAGCCATCAACCAGGATTTACACTTGGTTTTTTTTTTTTTGGCCATGCCATGCGGCTTATAGGATCTTAGTTCCCTGATCAGGGATGGAACCCTAGCCCTTAGCAGTAAAAAACAAAAACAAAAACATGGAGCCCTAACCACCAGACTGCCAGGGAATTCCATAACCTTTCATGAAACAAAAAGGATGAAATCGTCTTGTGGTTCTCCACTTTTTGGACAGAGCTGACAACTAGACTGAGTAGCACTGGGTTACAAAGAACGCAAGGACCAGAGCAGATTTTCCTATTATCTCTGCAATGACCAGTGGGGTGGGAGAGGTTGCAGGGTCTGGCAGTCCTTGAGGGTGAAGGGTAGGGGTGGTTTATGTATCCAGGCAGAGCCTACTCTCTTGGTCATATATTAAACTGGATCCTAAAAAGCAGGTTTTTAATCAGATAGACCCTCTCAGGTGCTGAATATCTGATTTTCCCCTATTTCTTTTAAATAACATGAAAAAATAGGATCAAGAACCTCCCCTACCACCTGCTCTACCACCCCCATGGTAAACTTAAAACAGGTCCCTGTGTCTTACAAAGATGGGGCAGAAAGAAAAAGCCTAATACCGTACTTTTTTTTTCCTTTCCTTTTTCTGAGGCTCCTCCATCAATTCTCTTTTGGGAGCAGTCTTTGGTATATAGTTTAGTTTTATTTAATCTGGCAAAAGCGTCTTTGGTAATTTTATGAATGTTGTTATGGATTGAATTATGTCTCCCCCACCCCCACCCCAATTCAGATGCTGAAGCTTTAACCCCCAATGTGACGGTATTTGGTGATGGGGCATTTAAGGAGGCAATTTAAGGTTAAATGAGGTTACAAAGTCGAGGCTTTAACACCTATGCAACTGGTGTCCTTATAAGAAGAGGAAGAAACAACATCTCTCTCTCCCCACCCACCCCCCTCCCCGCCCCCATCTCCCCCTGTGCACACACAGAGGAAAGGCCATGTGAGGACACAGTGAGAAGGTGCCTTGTCCAAGTCAGGAAGAGACATCTCACCAGAAACCAACCCCAGCGGTGCCATGATTGTGGACTCCCCAGCCTCCATAGCTGTGAGAAAATAAACTGCTGTGTAAGTCACCTAGTCTGTGGTATTTTGTTATGGAAGCCTGAGCAGACTGACACTGGTAGGCATACATCAGCCAGGGCAATCTTTTTTAAGTCTAAATTTAATCCTTCACTGCTCTACTTAAACCTATCAATAGCTCCTCATTTCCTTTGTACTAAAATCCCAGTTGCTTACTCTGGCCTGCCACATCTATGGTCTACTTCCCTTTCTAACTTCATTTTACTTTACTTTCCTCTCAATGGTGCAGCCACACTAACCTAATTCCTGGCAGTGTCTGGCTCTTTCCAAACTCCAGGCCCTCACAGATGCTGTTCCCTCTGCCTGTGTTGCTCCCATCCTTCCAGCTAAAACCCACTTCTCTGAATCTCCAATCAAAAGGAGGTTCTTTCCTTTATTCTCTCTCAGCTCACTCTTTATTTCCTTCTTAGCACACACCACAATTTGTAATCATGAGTCTATCTGTGTATATGTTTGTTGTTTCTCTTGCCCACTGAAATAATGGTCAGCCAGTGAGGGTGGGATACAGACCTGATTTGTTCACTATCATATCCCCCAAGGGTTAGGCTGGCCAAGGTCAGAATAGGTTTTTATTCTGTAATTCTTTAAGTTTTGCAACCTCTAAGCAAAGAATACAAAATTACAAGTATAAAATTGCAAGGGCCTGGTGAAAGTGAGGGGCCCTGAAACAAGCTTCATCAGCTTTCTGGTAAGTCACCCCCATACCCAGTATATAAATATTAATTAGACAGTAACCCTTTGAGAACAAGCCCTTTCCCGCAGTCTCTACTGGAGTGGACTTCGCATGGGCTGTCTTTATGGCAATAGATAATCCTTACACAAGGGGAGCTCATACTGATTTCTAAGAGCTTCCTGTAGGCCTATCCATCAAGTGCCCACCCAACATTTCCCAACAGCTGTGATAGCTTTTATGTCCCACTATGTATTATTTACTGCAATAAAACACATATAGTGCAAATTTTAGCATTTTAACCATTTTAAAGAGTACAATTCAGTGGCATTTAGTACTTTCACAATGGCTGTGCAGCCACTATTACCCACTTCCAGAATATTTTCACTACTCAAAAGGAAATTCTATACCCATTGAAGAGTCACTCCCCACCCCCTCTCCCTAGCCCCTGGCAACCACTAATCTGCTTTCCGTTTCTACGATTTGCCTATTCTGGATATCTCATGTAATTGGAATCTAATAGGTTTTTAAAGGTACTTCTCTATCTAAAGTGAAGAGCAATATCCAAAGGTTTGACTGCTTAATTAACTGGTACATACATCTGCTAGCACAACAACTTGAATTCCAGTTTTGAAAAACAGTCATACCCAAGATTACCTATTGTCTTTGTTTCTTCACAGCTGTCCCCACACCCACCCCCCTCTTTCAAGCTGGTGTCTTGGTGAGAACAACTGGGAAATGGAGCATGAATACTAACCCCCACCCCCACCCTCACCATGACACCCCACACAACAAACTCTGATTTACCTAGGCCTGAAGTGTGGTCTCCTGCCTGAAACATGTTTGGTTTTACTTTCACTCGGGTCCAGCCTGAACCCTCTTTGTCTTGGTAAAAGTTGCAGAGGTCTTCCTCAAAATTGCAGCTTGCTTCTAGGGCACTAAAAGGATGCTCTGAGCAAAGGAGAATCAAAGTTAAAGTGGGCCAAACCCAAGAATCTCAAAGAATGACAATTGATTGACAAATATGCACACATTTGTACTAGGGGAGCTTGGAGAAGCAACACACAACAAAAATATTTTTACCCTAATGGCATGCTGACAGGTTAGCATCAAACCCATGTTTCAGCATGACAAGAAAATTGTTCTTTTCCTCCCTAAATGGGTAGAAAGAAGGAGCTCTGTTCACATTCTCTACAAAAAACCCAAAGTACCAGACTTCAAAAGAAATTTCCTTCCCTGATATAAAGACTGATAGCATTTATGCATATACTTCTTCACAATTCATACAAAATTAAGAGAAAAAGTAAGGATTTTATAGAATTCTTAATTTCTTTCTGACAGATATGTAGAAATAATATTTTCCAGAAATAATTTTCCTTTGTTGATCAATCTCTATGTCAGAAGCACAGCCACTGTCTGTTTATAATTGACATGAGTAGTAGAAGCTGATCTGCTGGAAGAGAATCATTATTCAGTATAAATCACACTGTTCAAACACCAATTCTGTCACTGGTTCTGCTTTTATTTTGGCTTTTGCTGAGTTCTGGTGTCATTTACTCTGTATAAACATCACCTCATTCCAGATTGCCTGGAGGAAATGCAACATAAAAGGTTCCTGCTCTTTCAAAAATAGCGTGGTCCTGGCAACAAGTAAATGTAAACCTCACTGTTCATATTGCCCACCGAGTCCAGAGGGGATGAGACTGCAGCAGTCTGGGACACACTCACTGTAGCCAAGTATAATCTTATTCTGTATGCTGACATATACTGGCTTAACCTTTCAGGGCCAGAGACAGCACTGTTTTGAATAAGCAGAAAATTATCTCTAGACTCAGTGGTAAAGAATTTGCCTGCAATGCAGGAAATGCAGGAGGCAAGGGTTTGATCCCTGATCCAGAAAGATCCCCTGAAGGAGGAAATGGCAACCTAATCTAGTAGTCTTACCAGGAAAATTTCATGGACAGAGGAGCCTGACAGGCTAACAGTCCACTGGGTCACAAAAGTGTTGGACACAACTGAGTGACTAAGCACACAGTACCTTTTAGGGTCAGAGATAGCACTGTTCTGAATAAGTGGAAAATTATCTCTAGAGAAACACTTGAGTTCTAGGTAAGGGAATCTGATGAAACAGAGAGTTGTTTAGGGAAAAAGACTCACTATTCTCTCAATTTGTCAATATTCAAAGCCAGAAAACAATCCAGTGGTTTGAGGAGCTGGCCTAGCTAAGTGGATGAAAGACACATGACAACCAAATGCTACAAGGGATCCAAGACTCCATCTTGGTCTAGGAAAACAAACAGCTATAGAAGACTTTATTTGGGCAATTGGTGAAATTAGCATATGGACTATAAATTAATTGATAATATTGTATCAGTGTTGAATTTCCAGAATTTTATAATTATTCCATAGCATGCTGGAGAATGTCTCTGGTTTTAGAAAATACCTAATGAAGTATTTAATGGTAAAAGGACATAATATCTATAACCTATTCTTAAATGGTTGATAAAGCAAATGTAGATTTGGCAAAATCTACATTTGTAGATCTGGGTGAAGAGTATACGGGAGTTCCTTATCATAATCTTGGAAACTGTGTCAGAGTTTAAAATGATGCAAAAGTAAAGAGTTTTAAAAATGCTGAATTAAAAAGAAAAGTAAGTGACTAACACCACAATACAAAAAAACAACAGGAAGAAAATGTTTTTACATAACTGGAATCTGAGTATATCTGAGACAATATGCCTTAGCAACTGTACAAGGAGAGGCCCCTGAAAAGCTAGCCAGAAGGAAAGGAAGAGAATTTTCAGCACTCTAAGACTGGTGGTAACCCACTGCTCTGCCTGACTCTGTCAGCATCAAGTTGAATCTTGAAGCTGTGAAGATAAAGTCATGAAGATATACATTTGAAAATGATTATGATAACATACAAGCAAGGATCCTTTGACATCCCCCCACAGAAATTTGAGCCCATGGGAAACCCCATAATGATCTTCAGTCTTAGTCACCCCTCTGCCACCTGGTAATGAAAAAGCAGATGGAAATTCAGACCTACAGATAGCCATTCAGCTCAGAAAATAGGGCAGCACTCCCAAAAGCCATGGATAAAGAGAGTGGAAGGTCAGTGACATTATTCATCAGGAATATATCCAGAGGAATATCTACCTGGGCATCCAAAAGAGATCCATAACCCATTTCCTTGGTGTGTGGGAGGAGGTGAGAGGTGATAGTAAAACTTATAAGTAAGCAAGACTCTGTTGTTTCCATAGTGACAAACTGAGTCAAACAGAGATTTTTCTGAGGACACAGTTATATTCTTTTGCTAAACACTTAGTCCTAGCAGTGGATTTGTTGGGGGTCCTGAGACAGTCTGATAAAAAAAAAAAAACAACCTCAAAGCACAACTCAAAACCTAAATCTTTTTCAACTAGAATGCTTATTCTAGCATGAGACACTACGTAATTCCTGAAGATGGGGGCCAGAGGGCTTATGTATGACCTAAAGTGAGATACCCAAAGATTTGGGGTTAATGAAGAGCCTTTGCTTCAGGCTTGTTTCAGAAGAATGTGTTAAGTGGCGATTGGATTTGAGGAGTGTTAATAACATATTTGAAGCATAGGAAGGAATCAGAGGAAATTGGAAGCTCCAGAGCATCAGTTGATCACCCTGTCCCATCAAAAAAAAAAGTTCTCTATGAGCATCACAATGTACCATTTAGTTAATTACTTGATTTCCAATGTTTGAACTTTTTAGAATCAGGAGGCTCTGAAGATAAACTAATCTGATAGAGGGTATTGCCGTTTGAGAAGAATGGTTGGGAATATTTCTCATCTTTTCCTCTGCTTCATGGAGTTCAGAGATGAATTTAGTATCAGTCCTTGAGATCTAAGAGGATTATCAGCTCCTGTAGTGCTAGAGAGACTTTGGGTGTGGTGCTCTTTAGACTGTTAGACTTGAGCAGTAGCTCTTATTTTAGCACAGGCCAGCCTGAAAGCAGACTGGGACAGCTCAAAGCTGGCAAGGAAATGCAGTGAGTGGGACCTAGCTCCAGACTGAGGAATCAGGATGGAGCAGGGCTGGGCCGCTGATCAGGCTGTGGAGATGTTTGAAGGCCTCTGAGTTAAGGAAGACTGTAATACCTGCAACTGTAGCCTAGGCAACAACTGGAGCCGTGTTTCCAAACCAGACAAGAGGTCTAGTCAGTGTGTTGTTGGTGAATGGTCAATTTGGGAACTTAAGCCCACACAGACATCCTTTTAGAGGTATATCTGTGAGTGTCAGTATCCTCCCAGAGCCTGGCCTGGGTGTGGGGTGAATCCAAGGTCAGAGAGGAAGCTAGGTCTGCATATGGCAGAGACTGGAGGTCTCTGGCAGTTGGGCATTAAGGCATTATTTCTAGAAGTGAGAAGTGAGTGGAATCACCTGTTAGGTATTCAAGGATTTACAGATTAAAAGGAGAGCTTATTCCTATGGTCTAGGTTCTGGGCCAAATGTGGTAGATGGGGGGTTTTCAGATGGGAGAGGCCTGGAAAGGGAATGGCTGTAACTCAAGCTGGGAGGGATGGGATAAGGTCTCACTGTCCTCTGTAAGCATCCTGGGGAAATATCTGGGGGGATGACAAACAGCTGGTGCTTAATACCTGTGACTCTGAGATAGGTTTCAGGTCTGGGAAACTGGATTAATCTAAGAGCAACCAGATGGTGGGAACAAGATGCTTCATATGTTGAAGTAATTCCTGTCTCAACCTACTAGAGAGATGAGGGAAGAAAATGGCAGATCCAGCTGGGAAAAGCAGAGACAATAAATGTGGAGGTAACCAAGATAAAGGAAAAAATGTTGGTACCTACTGTGAAACAGAAGGACATACGCTATTTGTGAAATGTAAAAGGAAGTATGAAAACTAGAGGGCTCAGCTTCTAAGACTCAGAATCTGGCCCACAGGTGCTTAATGAAGGGCATAAAGCAGACTCCAGCTTACACATTCTTCAAGGCAGTACCCTTTGCTGGTTCTCTTTAATTTCAATCTGACTCCCTGTTCTCTAGGGAATGAATGGGAGTATTTTGAAAATTAAGTAAATAATATTAGGTCTCATGGCCAAGCATTTTCTGTGTGCCATACTCTTCTAAGGCTATCACAGACATTATTAAGTCATCAATCTTCCTGACAATTCTATGAATCAGATTCTTCCATCCTTGTCCCATAAACGTGAAAACAGTCTCAGAGATGTTGGGTAACAAGCTGAAGGTCACACAGCTTGTAAATGGCAGAATAGGAATGTGAGTCCAAAATCCTGGTTCTTAAGCACAATACTTTGATTGTGCAGTTAAACCATTTAAAGCAAAGCTGGTGTACTAGGAAATTCTGAAGGCCAATAGGGAACCTTGGTTAACTATAAAAATGTGAATCCCTCCCTCCCTATGGAGGAAGGGTCTTTATCTGGGCTGGATTTCACCGAGGAAGGGGTCACCATCTCTCTTAACAAATGGTCCTTATTGTGCTGGAAAATATCTTTTCTTTTCATCAGTCAATAGAAAATAGTTCACATATACTCTGTATCTTTTTTAATGGGAAAATGTTTCTAAATGTTACTTCTATGGTGGTTCACTAGATTCTATCACCTTCCATCTGCCTTCACTCCACCTGCTATCCAGTATAGATGTTAAATAAATACCTCTTCTTCTATATGCATAACTTGGAAATATTTTTAAAATTTCAATGTAAATGTCCAGTGACAGAGAAGAGAAATTTCTAAAAATAATGTTAAAGAGGTTGTAAAACTATTATTAACATCACTGAAACATTAACTGATGGAGTTAGGGAGCAATCACATTTAGAGAGTAAAGTCACTTTGGTTTCTGTGTTCTGCCAAATTTAGAGACTCTTAATTTTTGGTTACTGTTAGGATTAAATCATTTTAATTAGAGCATATAAGTATGTAAATCAAGTCTGTTCTGTTTCACTAGTTTTGTTTTTTTTTCAAATTAGAATTAGTAAAAACTAATATTTGATTTCAGTTAATTAGTAAGTTTTTCTGTGATTTGGAGGTAAAAAATTAGCTCGAGTGGAAAATATTCTAAGCTCCTTTGCTTATAGAATATATTTGAAACTGGCGGCACTCTCCGTCCCCATTCTGATGTCTATGTCAGAAGCTTTCTCTGTCCCTTTTTATCCTTTAATAAAACTCTGCTTCACAAAAGCTCTTGAGTGATCAAGCCTGGTCCCTGGTCCTGAAGATAAATCTTCTTCTTTGGAGATCAAGAATCCGATACCGTTCACCATAAGCTATCATCTTGGGGGCTTGTCTGGGATCTTTAGGACAAGCTTTCAGCTTTTCAACCTCCTCATCAATTGAAGGCTTCCCATGGTGGGTTTCTCTGCTTCAAGGAAAGGATTTTCTTCAACTCTGCGAATACCTTCACCAACAGCAATCGTATGTGACACCTCTTCTTGATCGGATGACATCTAACAATCCTAAGATGGACTGATGTAACTATGGACATAATATGAATTTGTGACTGTTTTGCCCCATAAAATCCAGAGGAAGTGATGGTATGCAACTTTTGAGGCTGGGTCATAAAAGGTGTTACAGCTTCCTTCTGGTTCTCTCGGAACATGGCTTCGCCGGAAGTCAGCTGCCAATGAAGTAGTCTGACAACCCCGAGACCACCTTCCTGGAGAGACCATGTGTAAGTGGTTCAGGAGGCAGACCTAACTGAGCTCCCAGACAACTGCCAGCAGCAACTGCCAGTCACGTTTATGAGTCAGCACCAAAACACTCTTTCCATGGTTTTTTAATCTTTTCTGAAGAAAAGCCCTTTTGATTAAGAAGGAAAAAGAATATTTTATGGAAAGCTGTGAGGATGTAATAGAAGAGGTCGAGAAGGCTGAATAGGAAGGAGGCTGGCAGGAAGAAGGCTGGCAATTTCAGAATGCCTTGGTAGAAAAACTGCTCAACTATCTCCTCCTAAGGTTTCTTCCATCTCTGGGTTACTCCAGACAAGATTAAAAGTCCTGAAGAGAGTTTGGTTGGCCCCAGCTTGAGGCATCTGACAGTTCTTTGGTTGATCCAACGTGATCAGATTTGCAAAGATGTAAAATTTACCAAGACCCGTGGTTGACATAGGTGTGTAGAAACAGGCTTTCTCACATGTGACTTTCAAGTAAGTTGCCTTGGCTTTTTCTGGAGCCTGATAGTACCCTAAGATACACACACACACACACACACACACACACACACACACATATTCTTAAGGACGTACTCTTCAATCAAGATATTTCACAATGTAGAATTTTTCTAAGAGAAAAAAAATTAGTTAATTGAGTGATGATATAGATAATTGGTTATTTTATTATTGCTTGGAATAGCAACATTTGTTATTGTTGTTCAGTTGCTAAGCTAAGTCATGGCCGACTCTTTGCAACCTATTGACTGCAGCATGCCAGGTTACTCTGTCCCCAACTATCTCCTGGAGTTTGTTGAAATTCATGTTCATTGAGTCAGTAATTCTATCCAACCGTATCATCCTCTGTCATCCCCTTCTCCTCCTGCCTCCAATCTTTCCCAGCATCAGGGTCTTTTCCAATGAGTCTACTCTTCACATCAAGTTGCCCAAGTTTTGGAGCTTCAGCTTCAGCATCAGTCCTTCCAATGAATATTCAGGGTTGATTTCCTTTAGGATTGACTATTTTGATCTCCTTGCAGCCCAAGGGACTCTCAAGTCTCCTCCAGCACCACAATTCAACAGCATCAAGTCTTAGGCTCTCAGCCTTCTTTATGGTCCAACTCATATCCATACATGAGTACTGGAAAAAACCATAGCTTTGACTATACAGACCTTTGCCAGCAAAGAGATATCTCTGCTTTTTAATATGCTGTCTGGGTTTGTCATTGCTTTTCTTCTGAGGAGCAAGCATCTTTTAATATCATGGCTGCAATCATCATCCGCAGTGATTTTGGAGCCCAAGAAAACAAAATCTGTCTCCGCTTCCACTTTTTCCCCTGTTTCCCTGAAATGATGGGACTGGTTGCCATGATCTTAGCTTTTTTAATGTTGAGTTTCAACCTAGCTTTTTCACTCTCTTCTTTTACTCACATCAAGAGGTTCTTTAGTTCCTCTTCAATTTCTGCCATTAGAGTGGTATCATCTGCATATCTGAAGTTGCAAAATTGGAATGTCCTAATTGTCCAACAGTAGGAAACTGTTTAAATAAATGATGATAAAGCCATATGCTAGGGTGCTTTATAGCCATTAGAAATTACGATGTAGTCCCATATTTGTTTACATAGATACATGTCCATTATGTACTGTTATATGAAAAAAAGCAAGTTATACATTGTATGTACAGTATGACTTTATTTTTGTAAAAGTAAATACATACATATATGCACATTAAAAAAAAGAATATATTCAAAACTATATTAAATTAGAGACCAACTCTATCTTAAGCGAAAGTTACACTACCAAAACCAAGGTCAAAAATTCACTTCCAACACTCCAAAACCCAGAACAAGGGCTCCTTAATAAGATGGATGACCACTGTGTCTCCCTGGGGCCTCTCAAGGAAACAAATTCATTAAAAGGTATGGTCAACTGCATTTATTTGTGCATGCATGCATGCTAAGTCACTTCAGTTGTGTCCAACTCTTTGCGACTCTATGGACTATAGTCTACCAGTCCTCTGTCCATGGGATTCTCCAGGCAAGAATACTGGAGTGAGTTGCCATGCCCTCCTCCAGGGGATCTTCCTGACTCAGGGATCAAACCCATGTCTCTTATGTCTCCTGCATTGGCAGGAAGGCATTTATCTGGGTTATCAATTATAGTGTCACCCTTCTAATTCTAAAACATTTGTTTTCTAATTCACTTTGAACTGATTTGCTTACCTATTTTCCCAGGAAGTAAAAATGCCCTTTCTTTACAAACACAAAGTTTATGGAAATTACAAAATTGGTCATGATAAAATTATGTGAGCATTCACTTAGAAAGAGAAATTGAATACATACTCTGAAGTCAAAACCATCATACAGACAAATACTAACATCTTTAAACAGGAGGACATTTAAAAATTAGATTCATAAAATTAGAAAGAGTTCTTATAATTCTACTCAGTAGATTTTGAGAATTTTTTCTGTCTACTCTATATACATGTCTATGGACCCAAGATTTCCTTTAAAGAGAAAGATGGAGTGGAGGGGAGGTATTTAATTTTAATTTCCTAGTATGTAGAGAAGATAAAATCTTCTTAACTCAGGAAAACTGACCTCTGGTGTCACGAAAATCAGTTTCATTCTGTGAGAGGAAAAAAAGAGTAAAATAACAGAGAAATGACTATTTGGTTAAATACTTTAAGGATGAGATAAAAAAGGAAAAGAAGAGGAAATTAGAAGGAATTAAAGCAAGTCCTGACCATAGGCATCTGTTGACAAAAGACGATCCTAAATGGGAGGAAGAAGAGAAAGAGAATGCTTACCTGTCTGATTTTGGCAGTGAACAGGAGAGAAAGAAATATCATCCAGGGCCACATATCCTCCTTTGGGACCATTGAAGGCAACTTCAAAAATAACCTGCAGAGGAGAAAGACATGTTACATGTTTATGTAATTTCTTTTAGGCTTAAATGCTTGTACTATGACTTAAAATGGTGTGTTGGTCTAGCCAGGTATATAGGTATTTGAGCAGCTCCCTCCTTAACTCACAGTTTCTTTGGGGGAGAGTGACTACTAAGCCCTAAGTTGCATTTTATTGGTGGACTTTTCCCCCTCCCTTGCATGTCCAAGTACCTATATCACTTGCTGATAGGACTGCAGACTCAATAATCTGTTTTATGAACTTCAATTAAAGAGGCAACATGCTGCTTGCAGAAGGCAATCCTACCCTTCACAGAGCCCTAGGCCCTTCCCAGGTTCTCTTTTTCATGCATAAAATGCTATGTCCATCTTGACAAAGATGCAGCAATCAGAGATGATTACCTGATGCCTAAGGCAGAATCAGGCCCAGAACTCCTGTGTATAAATGTTAGGTTTTTGGCATACCCTGGCATGCTCAAATAGAGAGAACATGGGATTATTAACGAGTTCAGGTCCCTTTAGTTATACTGTCTTCTCTGCCACGAACTTTAACTTTGAGTTCAATGGACGACTTTCTGTTTGTGACTCTCTGCTTCCCATGGGGACCAAGTATGGGGAGCACAACACTCATCTGTGTTGGGAAAACCACCGACGTGTGCAGACCACTCTGCTGGATTGATAACATAAGATACACTGTTGAACAGGGGTGGACACCCAAGTGCCCACCCAGGCCAGGCACGTAATGTAAATGCATGATATGGGTTTCATCTGATGCAACAGGAAATGGTGTGACGTGGGGAGCAAGGCTCATCTACCGGGGGCAGCTGCTACTTAGCTTTGTCAGCTGCTGGCAGATGCGAATTCAGGCCTAACATGCCTAGACTCACCAAATTGTCAAGAGGACTTGATGGCTAGATTTTTATTTGAAATCTTCAGATTTTTCAATGCTAACAATTCATTCAAAAACTAAAACAAATGTGTACAAAATAAAAACAAATAACACTATAGCAGCTAGACAAATCCCTATAGGCTAGATCTAACCAATGGGCCTCTGGTCTTCACCCTCTGCTAAGGAGAATGCTGTCTTAGAGGCAGACAGACCAGAGTTCAAATCCTGTTGCTGTCACTTTATTAACTAAGTGACCTTGGGGACATAGCTAACCCTTTCAGAACAACACTTTTCTTGTTATAAAATAGCCATTTTAACATCTTCCTTGTAGGACTGTAGATATGATTAAATGAGATAATGTATATATAGAGCCTATGGAGTCAGGTGCATAACAAGCTCTGAACTAAATCCATGCCTTTTTCTCCAGGGTGACCCCCTCCTGAACTGATATTCATGTCTGAGTCTAGCTGGCCACTAATTAACTCTAGTTTGTCCCTTTTCTCCTCTAGTTCTCAATTTCTTAATTTTTGAGAAAAGAGTTTGGATAAGATTGTCCCTTTCAGCTTGACAACAATGGTCCTTAGACACTTGGTCTCTCCAAAATCTAAGACAACCCTGGAAGTTTGTCTCTGGCAATGGAGGAAGGGCTGAGAACCAAGGGGACAGATTTGGGTGAATGAGGAGGAGCAAATTCAGTTTACAAGCTCAACATAGGCCTATGACATTTCATTTTCAAATGTGATAAAGCCAACAACAGACTGATCTTACTGATTGATCTAAATATCCTTACTGGATAAGGATATTTCCAATCATAATTTGCAAATCACAGCCTTTGTGTCATTGTGTTCTCTCTTGTTCAGCTATTTGTCTTCCTTTAAAAAATTCATTTGAGAATACGGGGACATTAAATTCACTGATTTCCGCAGGGTAGGCTTCTTTTCTCGGCAATTACCAGGAGCCAATAATCCTGATGTGATGAGTACCAACTGCCAGGACAAAATCATGCATGTGTGGCTCAAAAGGATATGTACTTAAGTTTAGTAGTAAACTTAAGCAGTAAACAGAAATGGTAACTTTTCAAGCATTGATTAAAAAGAAAATTCAGCAAATCTCACTCATTTAAATGTTGCCCCAGGAGTTTACAGTTGGATGAAAGGAATTTGCAAGGACAACGCTTTCACTGTGCATGTGACTTGTGCCTTTAATAGAAGGAAAACTTTCTCAAGCAGCATGTGCATTTCTTTTTCTCCTTGTAACCCAAACTCACAGAAAATTTTCCACTGGGCTGCAAGAGCGAATCAAGGCCTGGTTAGACTTTGGAATAGGAAATAGCACACATACTACAAAAGTCCCCTCTCTGGGGCTGTCTGGGGTAGGGGGAATTGGAAGAGGGAAAGGGAGAGGCAGGCACACAATCCATGGACAGAACACTTCCAAAACCGAGACCCCACCCCAACACTCACTGAAACGCCACATCAGGTGAGCAGATGGCACTACTGAAAAGCATCCAGAGGATCATCGGCTTCTTTTGCACTCTAAACAGAACTAGGGGAGGTACTGCAAAAAGTGCAAAGTGAAAGCAGGGAATGTTCACAACCTGTGGGAACTAAGACTCTTTAGAGCCCCAGATCTGCAACCACAGTGCTGCATCCCTGGATTCCAGGGGTCCCAGGGGTCACTGGACAGAGCTCCCCTTTTCCTTCAAATTTAAGTCAGATTTAGTGCGGGAAATTTTCTTAGCACCCTGGCACTCACCAGTGGTGTGACCTAGAACAAAACAGCAAACGTCTTGCACTTTCCGTTTCCTCCTCTTTCATCTGGAATATGGGGATAATTTTATCCGCTTTGTTGGATTGTTGTCAGCACTGAAATACGTATGTGTGTGTGTGTGTGTGTGCTCAGTTGTTTCTGATTCTGCGACCCCATGGACTGTAGCCCGCCAAGCTTCTCTGTCCATGGGATTTCCCAGGCAAGAACACTGGAGTGGGTTGCCATTTCCTTCTCCAGGGGCTCTTCCCAAGCCAGGGATTGAACCCGGGTCTCTTGCTTCTCCTGCACTGGCAGGCAGAGTCTTTACCACTGTGTCCCCTGGGAAGCCCAGAATACATGTATAGATATGTATTAATATATGTGCTTACAAAAAGGTCTTCAAGGATGAATACCAAGATGTTAGTTCTTTTCTTTGCAGGGCTGGTGTAGGGCATTTTAGTTTGTTTTGCTTCTCTGAATTTTCTAATTCTTCTGTACTGGACATTTACCGCTCATGTAAATGAACAGTTTTAAACCATAAAAAGTTAAAAAAAACTTTAGAGGCTCCAAGGCTTGTTTCAAATTAAGGCCAAAATCATGTTTATTTATGACTTTTATGACATTATTTACACTGTAAAGGAGAAAATAAAAAATAGGTCTTTTTTTTTCTCTAAATTTAGAAAGAGTGTTCCCTCAGGTAAGGGGAACCTTCACAGCTGCTGTCAGGAGCTGAAGTTTCAGAGTGAGGTTCACATAGAAGGAGTTTCACTAATCTCATCTGAACTCACACGACCACAATGCCAGTTCAGAGGGAGAGTGTGGCCAAGAAATCTACTTGGTTGACTGGCTTTCCCATATTTGTCTTTATTAAGAAATACTCGTCTAGGGAGAAGGTGAGGGTGGGATGTTTCAAGAGAGCAGCATCGAAACATGTATATTATCAAGGGTGAAACAGATCACCAGCCCAGTTTGGATGCATGAGACAAGTGCTTGGGGCTGGTGCACTGGGAAGACCCAGAGGGATGGGGTGGGGAGGGAGGTGGGAGGGGGGATCGGGATGGGAAACACATGTAATCCATGGCTGATTCATGTCAATGTATGGCAAAAACCACTACAATATTGTAAAGTAATTAGCCTCCAACTAATAAAAATAAATGAAAAAAAAAAAAAAGATATACTCGTCTAGAAAATGAAGTGATAGAGGAGAAAGGCAGAGAGAATACAGAGGAAGGGATAAAAGTGGAGAAGGCCAAGGAAGGGAAAAGGGAGATTAGGACTGAGACACAGAGGCAAAGGAGGAATGAGTATGAGACTGCAGTATCTCCTGAACTCCACATCTGGGTGTGGGTGGCATCTCTGCAGAGTGGCCAGGCACACCTACCTGCATGGGATACGGGGCACTGAACTCCACCTCAGCAAGGTTCCAGCCAGCAGCCCCTGGATCGCCCACTTTCCAGATCTCCTCATACAGGCCAGCTGCATCCCTCGTGTACACAGAGAAGATGTTGTCATTCCCCTGCTGGAGTTGGTAATAAAATGACAGGCAGCCAGACATGGGGGCTGTGGTCATCGGGGAGATGAGCTGGGCCACCTCCTGGAAGTGCTTGACATACATAGAGTCCACGTACATGTAATGGCCTGAAATCACACAGAGAAAAAACCTAAGACCAGCAGATGGATTCTCAGACGCGACTACACAACTTGGGATTTACTTCAAAATAACCTGGTGGGAGTGGAGGAAAGGAAGAGAGTGAGCTCTAGATGAAAGAAGTTTGGCCATAGGTTGATGAAAGTTGCAGCTGGGAGATAAATAGTGGACTTCACTGTGCTCTGCTTAATATAAGGACCACTCTTTCTCTTTCCTTTACCTTTGATTGAAGCAAAACATACATATAGAAAGGCAGGTATGCCATCTGTAAAGTGTTTGAGTGTTTATAAGCTGAACACAGTTGAGGAAAAGAAGCAGAACATGACCCTGAAGGCCCCTCCAACAAGCCTTCTTTGAGTGATGAGGCTTCTAAGAGCATACGGAGCACACCATCTGTTCTCCTCTACATCTTTGCCATATGCATGTAATGTCACTGTGTGTTCTTTGAGTGAAACAAAGATTTCGAATTCAAACTAGATGACAGTTTGTACCTCTTTAATAGAACATGGAGGTCAGTCAACACTGTCGACGGGGTTAGGATTTGGGAAGTTGAATTTGGGACCACGCCCTCTTCTCTTGATGGTTGGCAAGGCCTTGGTGGACTCCAGACCCAATAGCTGATCTTCATTAGAGGCATTTTAGTAAAATAAAGAAACTGAGAGGTGGAGGCGGGAGAACTTGGATTTGGCATTAAACGCGCTGGCTTTGAATCCAGCTCTACATCTCATGCCCTGTGACTTTGAGCAAGTTACTGAATATCTCTGGACAATTTCGTGATCTCCAGAATAAGAATCAAATATTTCTCTCACAGGGTTGATCTGAATGTTAAATGAGGTTGTGTATATGAAGTGGTTAGTGTATACCTGGCACATTGTAATTGCCTAAGATAGTTATAACAAAGTAAAGGAATGCCATTAATGTTTTTATACCTTGCTCCTCTCATATGGTACTATTAGTATCAGCAATTTTATTTATTAGTCTAAATTTATTTGAGCTGCAGTGACAGAGGAGTGTGAGGCAATGCAGCTATGATAGAATGGCCTTTCTATTTATAAGTTCAGAACAATTACAGCTTAATGTCTTTGCTTTTATTACATGGTGCCTGGTTTATAATCTTTTCTTTTATTGCCAGCAAAATAGCAGTAAGTATATTAGGAAGAATATATGCATTCACATACTGGACACTTGCTTTGCAGCTAACACACCACCTGGAATGTGGTAGGCCCTCAACAACTGGTGATTCAAAGCAGAAACATGGTCTCAGAACAATCCTCACTGCAATATGGCAGAGGGGAAAGGTGGATAAATCAAAGCTCCTTTCTCCCGGTAGCAAATTGTTCAACCCACTCTGAAAAATCTCCCTGGCTTAAATAGAATTGTCTGACTATCTTGCCAAGCCATGCGACTGTGAATAAACAGAAATCGCAAACTCAGATCATCAGAGGAGTCAGCCTGATCAAGTATATGACTGAAGTGGAGTGGGTCAGGGAGAAAATGGAGAGTGACGGGATTAGCTGCCAACAGTGGAAATCACATTTCACCAGCAACGGGAAGCAGATATCAAACTTCTCTGAAAGAAATCAGAAAATCTGATATGCTGGGCCTGTATTCCTGGGCTGTGACAATCAGCTGGGGGTGAGGGGCGCTGGCCCTGTGCGTGGACCCGTGCTCCTCCCTGAGAACCCATCCGTCTACTTCCGGCCAATGCCCTCACATCAGCCAGGGGCTGCAGGCCTCTCCCGCTGAAACTCAAGATCCAGATTTTTCTGGCAAATACGTTCATTTAAAAATGATACCACCTGTATTCTTTTGCTAGGATTACCATAACAGTAACCTAAACTGGATGGCTGAAATTAAAGAAATTTGTCATTCCACAATTTAGGAGGCTAGAAGTCCAAGGTCAAGGTATGGGAACAATTAGTTCCTTCTGACAGATGGCAGGGAGACCCCGTTCTATGCCTCTCTCCTGGCTTCCGTGGCATTGGCAAGTTTTGACACTGACTGATAGATCTCTGTCTACATGGTCACGTGGTGTTCTCCCTTCTAAGCTTGGATCTCTCTGTGGCCAAATTTCCCTTTTTTATAAAGATACCAGTCATACTGGACTTGGGCGGGACCGAGGTTCACCCCACTTTAGTATGACCTCATCTTAACCAACTAATCTTCAATGACCCCATTTCCATTCCCCCATTCTGAAGTTCTGGGGGTTAGGACTTTAACATATGGATTTTGAGGAAATACAATTCAACCTATAACACCTCCCACCACAATTTTTTAAAATTTGTGAGTGCCGAATAAATGTAACTGCAAGACTGGCAGCAGCTGATGAGCTCCCAGTTGGCTGCCTCTGGGGAGGGATTTTTAAAGGAAGAATCAGAATGTTGGACTGAGCAGAATCCAGGAACTTCTGATAAGGAGACAAGGCCACGAGTGCCCCTTGTAAGGTTAGTGTCCTCTGAAGCACTGCTGGTGGCCAGCCAGACATGAAGAAGGAATTCAGTCTACCCAGGTGAAGCACACCTCCAAAACTCCAGGAGACCTCAGGAAATCTAGGAGACCTCACAAATCGACTGGAAATTATTTGTTCTGCTTCCAGAGTACATGGTAACTGTGTTTAGGAGCAATGTCTCACACTCCTTCCCATTATGAATGTATCTTCCTCACAGCTGACAGGTATCTGACAGTGCTTCTTAAAGGCTACTTACTCACCTCCTGGGTGGACAAAATTTAAATACCTGAATTTGCAGCTAGTGCCTAGTTAACAACCCACGCACAAGACAGGAGGTTAATGAGCCACAGTCCCACTTCTGGTCCCAAACAACAGCAAACACAACGTGACCTGCCCTAAGTGAGTCAGAGAGGCTGCTGGGAATCCGACCAGGACTGCTGACACCAAGTCTCCCATGGAACCACTAGACCAGACCACATGCCATTGCCTCCCCACCCTTTCCTCTCTGGCATTCATTTGTTGCCAAAGTTAGGTACTATTTACTGACTATCTGAGTAAGACACTTTCTCACTGGGAAACAGAAGGTAACTCATCAGAAGCTTATCATCTCAGTTGAAGGAGTGTGGATGATTCAGAAATCACCAGGTGTCAGCCGCAGGAAGCTGGGCCACAGGAATGACCACCAGCCCAGGCTGAATATGTATCATCAGGTACAATCTGCTCTGAGGTTGGGAGCAGGTGGTGGTGCAGGCACTGTTTTGTGTACCCTTCCAAGGGGAATGAGGAAGGTAGCCTGCAGTGCTTGGAAACTTACGGCTAGTGTCTTATATTATGAGAACTTTTCTGCCCAACTCAATGAGGCCAATTCCTCAACTGGTCCAGGGTTCTGGAACCTCCAGAATCTCTAGAAGAAGCCTTTTAGAAAGAAAAATCAGATCCTTTAAGTCCGAGTAGATTAAAGTAGGTATAGATAGATCTTAGGTGGAAAGGATCCTTATAATCAACCAAACCGTTGGGGATCCTGTTAAAAGAGCAAAACTCTCTGTGACGCAAGCCAAAGCTCAGGCCCCTCAGGCAAAATGCCTGCGGTAGGAGCACATGCACGCTCTCTTCTGAAGAGGGCTTCCCTCCTTTCTTACAGAAGCTCTTTGTCTTAGCTCAGCTTTTCATGTGGAACCAGTGGCTCACTGGTAGTCAGCCATTTTCCCTTGAATTAGGAAAAGAACTTTGAAGGCAGCTCCTGACCTTCTATTTTCAAACAGTCTGGCTAACCAGCATTCCACAGAGATTGCCCTAGGCTTGGCTGCGATGCCAACGGCATCCTCTGACTCAGCTGTGATTCGGTCCTGTTGGCCACATTTGTGCTCCAGTTGCAATGTCTGCCTCTGTGTCATGGTTGTCTGGACGAGCTGTCTCCTGGGTGTGGGGGAAGACCCAAAGAAAGGAATGCCAGTGGGTCTGCTGCCATTGTGAGGAGGTAGCACCCAAAGGCATCTAGTTACCATGCCCGCTCTCCAGTCTACAGGTCTGGCAGTTACCTGATGAACCTTTAGTTCTAAGGGTTTAGTAAGTTTTACTATAATAGAGTCTGACTCTACTGTAGAGTCAGTATATGAAGTGGGACTTCTAGTTTCTGCTAAGATCTCAGTGATAAGGACAATGGGGCAGAAGTCCCTCTATTTTCTACAGAGTGGTGCTAAACTATCCCTGTTGTATATGCTACATTGTGGCAGACCTGGAGTCTAAACCTGCTCTACCAGATTAGACCCTTTCACCTCCCTAATAATCCTAATCCTCTGTCCTCACCCGCTTCCCCCAGCCTGTATATATGAGAAGGCCAAGGAGGGATCAGAGAGACTGGAGGCAGTTTCCTTGAAGAGACTTGTGGAGCTGACCCACCATTGTGTTTCCTTTTGATCCCCCAAGGGAATGGGAGGGGCTTGCTTCCCCTTTACCCAAGGGAGGGGGTTTCAGAGAACCACTTGTAGAGAAGGTGGGGGAGGGAAACTACCATCTAATCTCATCCCACCCATGCTTGCAAGTTCCTGGGTTCTGCGACTGCCTTGGGCCTTGAGAGGAGGGTGGCAGTTACTAGGAGAACTCCAGGGGTAACTGGAGTTTGTGCGTTGCAGAGGCTAGGCCTCTGTATCAGAGCCTTGACGGCCTGCAGCTAGAGGCTGTAGGGACCTGGGGGCAGAAGGGAGAGAAAGGACTTTTGTTGCCAGTGAGCCAGACTTCCAGAGTTTGATGGGGAAGACATCTGAGTTTTCCCGAAGCCTAGGTGGAAAACTCAGAAGGTAACTGGGCTAGAGTGCCTTAAGACTCTTCTCAAAAGGACTGCATGCAGGGCGGTAACCCTAACAAAAAGGGGCTGGTGGGGTGTACCTCATAACCATCACTAAGCGGGATTCACAGATGGCCATTCAGAGAGTGCATCATTTTTGTCATTGGCTGTGAGAGACATAGCCAGCATCCAGCCACCTGCAGCGTGAAGGTCATCGACTCCAGATTAAAGAGCAGGTCACATATGACCTTTCGTCC